GTTAGAATGTGGAAGGTGAATCTTCTGGCAGAGTTTCCGGGGGGAGTGGGGAGGGGGGGGGGGAGGTGGAGGCAGAAGTGGTGATTTTCATCAAATGATTGCACAATGTTCAGCACCATTCGCAAGTCCTCAGATACTCGAGCAGTCCATGTCCAAATGTAGTAAGAGAAAAACATCTAGCTTTGTACTGAAAAGTGGCAAGTTATACTCATCCCTCACGCATGCCAGGCAATGACCATCTATAGCAAGGGATAACTGAACCATCACCCTTTGACCTTCAAGGCTATTACCATCATTGAATCCCCCACTATTAATATCCTGGGAGTTACCACTGACCAGAAACTCAGCTGGTCTCACCACAAACTGATTACAAAAGCAAGTCAGACACAAAGAATCCTGCAGCATTTAGCTCACCTCCTGACTCCCCAAAGCCTGTCCATCGTCTCTAGGCACAAGCCAGGAGTGTGACAAAATATTCTCCACTTGCCTGGATGGCTGCAGCTCCAGTTGCTCGCTGCAGGATTCCAATTTTCTAACCTTCTCTTATAGCTGCTGTAATTATATATATCTAGTTCTGTTGAGTCTCTGGTCAATGGTAACTCCCAACAATGGATGCTGATATGGATCGAGTGATGGAGCAAACCCCTGATCATCATGGTCCACAGGGAAACCTTAGAGAACGTTGACCACTTCCAATACCTTGGATGTGTCTGGTCAACCAAAGCAGCTGTTGAGGAAGAGACCCAAGCACTGCCTCCAGTGTGCTAGTGTGGCCTTCAGCAGCCTGTGGAAAAAGATGTTCAAGGACAACAACATCTGATCTGACACCATAGTATACAGAGCTGTGGTGGTTCCTGCCCTCCTATATGGCTCAGACATAGATGTCTACAGCAGACACATCAAGGTGCTGACCCAGTACCACAAAAGGTGCCTGAGCATGATCCTGTGAATCCATTTGGAAGAAAGACATAACAACACCAGTGTCCTCAACCAGGCCAACAACCCCTGCATCAAGGCACCGACCATCCTTGATCGGCTACAACGGTCTGGGCGCGTCATCCACATGACCGACTCCAGATTCCCCAGGCAGGTGCTCTACTCCCAGCTTTGTTAAGGCAAGCGAGCCCCAGGTGGACAGGAGAAGGGCTTCAGTGATGCCCTCAAGGCCTCACTGGCAAAGTGCAGCAGTCCCACAGGCACCTAGGAATCACCGGCCTAAGATCATCCAAAGTGGAGGATGAGAGTTCGGGAAGGCATCGAGCACCTTGAGACTTGCCATCGGGAGAAAATGGAAGCCAGGCGAAACTAGTGAAAGGTGCGCACTGCCACACCAACGCCCCACCCACCCCATCATGCGACGACCTTCTGCCCCAAGTATAACAGAGCCTGAAGTAGCTGCATCGGTCTGTACAGCCACTTACTGACTCACCCTAAGCGTGGAAGAGTGTCACCCTCTTCTGCAAGGGACTGCCAATGATGATAATGACGGTAATGCTATTAAATATGAAGGGTCAGTGATTAGATTCTCATTTGTTGGAGATGGGTCATTGCCTGGCAGTTGTATGGTATGAATACCAACGTAGCAATGTTTTAATACTTGCAGTACTGTGATCACCAATGGCTAGGGGAAGGTCATCACCAGAACTTCACGCTTTCTCTCCTATTTTCCAATTCTATTGAAATGTGGATTTTTCATTCTGTTTCTGTTCTGAAGGTGTGCTCTCTCTGTGATGCTGACTAACCTATTGTTTCTCCAGTATTTTGTTTTTTTTCCCACTCCACCCTGCCTGGCTGCATTCTGTAGCGTACATGGACCTTTAAACCCACAAAGCCATTGAAAACTAATCCAACTCCTTCCATAGGCCAGCACCGCAATATAATTTTATGATCATTACTCTCTGACTTGTCTGAAATTGCTGACTCACTTCATGACTTGTGCCAATTCCACCACCAAAACCATTGCAGCTTGGTCTAATTCTATCCTTTCAATGCTTTTTAACACATCATTGGAAAGGAATGCCGAGCTGAATTTCTAACTCGCTGATTCCCAAAGTTGAATGTCAAATTCTCAATCCTAACCTGATGTTGCAACCAACACAACAGTACAGGAGAGAATCTGGTCCTTGAGGCTCCCTGTCACTCCAGGGAATTACTGACCTCTTTAGTCACATTAATGAGTGGCTTCTACTCACTCAGGGCCTGCCACCCAGCAGCATGGAAACACAGCAGGTTGAGTTAGAGTTCCCAGGATTTACAGCATAGAAACAGGCCACTCAATCCAACAAGTCCATGCTGGGGTTTGTGTTCTATGTGGGCCTCCTCTTGCCTCATTACCAGTATCTTTCCCCTCCTCGTTTCTCCCTCATTTGTTTATGCAACTTTCCCTTAACTGGGTCCATACTATTCACCTCAACAAGGAATTATAAATTCCCACACTCTCTGGATTAAGACTATTCTCTCCAAATCCTTACTAAATTCTATTAAAAAAGCAAAATACTACAGATGCAGGCAGTGAGAAATAATGTGATTGACTCTCAGTTCCCCTCTGAAATGGCCTAACAAGCCACACAGTTGTATCAATTGTTACAAATTTCAAAGAAATGAAACTGAATGAACCAGCTGACATCGACCTAGGCACCAGAAAAGACAACAGCAGAAACAGCCCTGTTGATCCTGCAACGTCCTCCTCACTAACATCTGGAGGTTAGTGTCAAAATTGGCAGAGCTGTCTCACAGACTAGTTAAGCAACAGCCTGACACAGTCATACTCACAGAATCATACATTTACAGACAATGTCCCAGACACCACCATCACTGTCCCTGGGTATGTCCTGTCTCACCGGCAGGACAGACCCAGCAAAGGGGGCGGCACAGTGGTATACAGTCGGGAGGGTGTTGCTCTGGGAATCTGTAACATTGACTCTGGACCCCATGAAGTCTCATTGCTTAAGATTAAACACAGGCAAGGAAACCTCCTGCTGATTACCACATACAACACAGCACTTGGAGGAAGCACTGAGGATGGCAAGGGCACAAAGTGTACTCTGGGTGGGAGATTTCAATGTCCACCACCAAGAGTGGCTCGGCAGTAGCGCTGCTGATCAAGTTGGTCGGGTCCTAAAGGACATAGCTGCTAGACTGGATCTGCGGCAGGTGGTGAGGGAACCAATAAGAGGGAAAAACATATTGACCTCATCCTTACCAATCTGCCAGCTGCAGATGGATCTGTCCATGACAGTATTGGTAACAGTGACCATCCCTCACAGTCCTTGTGGAAACCAAGTCTCGCCTTCACATTGAAAATACACTCCACCATGTTGTGAGGCACTATCACCGTGCTAAATGGGACAAACTTCGCACAGATCTAGCAACTCAAGACTGGGCATCCATGAGGCGCTATGGGCCATCAACAGAATTGTACTCCAGCACAATCTGTAACCTCATGGCCCGGCATATTCCCCACTCAACCATTACCATCAAGCTAGGGGTATCAACTTTGGTTCAATGAAGAGTGCAGGAGGGTATGCCAGGAGCAGCACCGTGAGATATCAACCTGGTGAAAGCTACCAACAGGACTACTTGCATGTCACACAGCATAAGAAGCAAGTGATTGACAGAGCTAAGTGATCTCACAACCAATGGATCAGATCTAAGTTCTGCAGTCATAGAGTAATATAGCATGGAAACAGGCCCTTCGGTCTAAACTGGTCCACGCTGACCATGGTGCCCACTCAGCTAGTTCCAACTGCCCGCATTTGGTCCATTTCCCTTTAAACCCTTCCCATCCATGTACCTATCTAATTTTTTTTTAGAAATGTTGCTATTGTACCTGCGTCAACCACTTTCTCTGGCAGCCCATTCCATATACTCACCACTCTCTGTGAACATATTGCCCCCAGGTCCTTCTTAAATCTTTGCCCTCTCACCTTAAACCTATGCCTTCTAGTGTTCAATTCCCCACCCTTGGGAAAAAGATTTTATGCATTCATCCTATCTATGCCCCTCATGATTTTATATCCCTCAATAAGGTCACGCCTCATTCTCCTACGTTCCAAGGAATAAAGTTCATCCTGGCCAATCTCTCCCTACAACTCAGGCCTCCTAGTCCTGGCAACATCCTCGTAAATCTTCTTTGCACACTTTCCAGTTTAACTATGGCTTTCCTATAACAGGGTGACCAAAACTGTCCACAATACTCCAAGTGCGGCCTCACCAACTTATACAACTGTAACATAACGTCCCAACTCCTATGCTCAATGCCTCGACCGATGAAGGCCAGCATGCTAAATGCCTTCTTCACCATCCTGTCCATCTGTGACGCCGCTTTCAACAAACTATGTACTTGTACTCCTAGGTTCCTCTGTTCCACAATGCTCCTCAGGACCTTCCCATTTACTGTACAAGTCCTACCTCGGTTTGACTTTCCAAAGTACAACACCTCACACTTATCTGCATTGAACTGCATTTGCAAATCCTCAGTCCACTTCCCCATCTGATCAGGATCCCTCTGTAATTTTTGATAACGTTCTTCACTGTCAACGATACCTCCCAGTTTTATATCATCTGCAAACTTACTAATCATGCCTTGTACATTCACATCCAGATCATTTATGTAAATAACAAACTACAAAGGTCCCAGCACCGACCCCTGTGGCACACCACTAGTCACAGGCCTCCAGTCCGAGAAACAACCTTCAACCATCACCCTCTGCTTCCTACCATCGAGCCAATTTTGAACTGGACGTTCTTCCACATCCAGTTGTGAATGGTGGTGGACAATTAAACAACTCACTGGAGGAGGCACCTCCACAAATATCTCCATCTTCAATGATGGAACAGCCCAGCACATCAGTGCAAAAGGTAAGGCTGAAGCTTTCATCACAATTTTCAGCCAGAAGTGCTGAGTGGATGATCCATCTCAGCCTCCTGCAGTGGTGTCCAGCATCACAGATAACAGTATTCAGCCAATTCAATTTAGTCCACATGATACGAAGACATGGTTGGAGACACTGGATACTGCAAAGGCTATGGGCCATGACAACATTCTGGCAATAGTACTGAAGACTTGTGCTCCAAAACTTGCTGCTGCTCCCCTAGCCAAGCTTTCCAGTACAGCTGCAACACTGTCATCTATCCAACAATGTGGAAAATTGCCCAGATATATCCTGTACACAAAAAGCAGGACAAATCCACTTGGCCAATTACTGCTCCATCAGTCAACTCTCGATCATCAGTAAAGTGATGGAAGGTGTCATCAACAGTGTTATCAAGCAGCACCTGCTCAGCAATAACCTGCTCACCGACCCACAGTTTGGGTCCCACCAGGGCCACTCAGCTCCTGATCTCATTACAGCCTTGGTTCAAACATGGATAAAAGAGCTGAATTCCAGAGGAGAGGAGAGAATGACAGCCCTTGAAAACAAGGCTGCATTTGACCAAGTGTGGCATCAAGGAACGCTGGCAAAACTGGAATCAATGAGTATCGGGGGGAAACTCTCCACTGGTGGAAGTCATACCTGGCACATAGGAAGACGGCTGTAGTTAGTATTGGTCAGTCATCTCAGCTTCAGGACATCTCTGCAGGAGTTCCTCAGGGCAATGTCTTAGCCCAACCATCTTCAGCTGCTTAATCAATGACCTTCCATCCATCGTAAGGTCAGAAATAGGAATGTTTACTGATGATTGTACAATATTCAGCACCATTCACAACTCCTCAGATACTGAAGCAGTCCATGTTCAAATACAGCAAGATCTGGACAATATCCAGGTTTTGGCTGACAAGTAGCAAGTAACATTCATGCCATACAAATGTCAGGCTATGATCATCTCCAATAAAAGACAATCTAACCACTGCCCTTTGACATCCAATGGTGTTACCATCACTGAATCCCTCGATATCAGCATTCTTGAGATTACTATTGACCATAAGCTCAACTGGACTCGCCATATCAACAGTGGCTACAAGAGCAGGTCAGAGTCCAGAAATCCTGCAGCAAGTAACTCACCTCCTGACTCCCCAAAGCCTGTCCATCATCTACAGGGCACAAGTCAGGAGTGTGATGGAATACTCCCCACTTGCCTGGAAGAATGCAGCTCCAACAACACTCAAGAAGCTTGACACCATCCAGGACAAAGCAGCCCACTTGACTGGCACTACATCCACAAGCATCCACTCCTTCCACCAGCAGTGCATGCTATTTGCAAGATGCACAGCAGAAATTCACCAAAGATCCTCAGGCAGCACCTTCTAAACCCATGACCACTTCCATCTGGAAGGACATGGGCAACAGATACATGGGAACACCACCTACCTACAACTTCCCCCTCCAAGCCGCTCACCATCCTGATTTGGAAATATATCACCATTCCTTCAGTGTCCCTGAGTCAAAATCCTGGAATTCCCTCCTTAAGGGCATTGTATGCAAACATACAGCATGTGAACTGAAGCAGTTCAAGAAGGCAGCTCACTATCACTATTTCAAGGGCAACTAATGATGGGCGACACCCATATGCCACAAATGAATTTTAAAAATGCAGAAAATGCTAGAAATGCTCAAGCCAAAAGGGAGAGGTGAGAGGAACAGAGTCACTACTTCAGTGAAGCTACCACACCAAAGAATTACCAGTATTTTCTATTTTTGTTGTAGTCATTGGCAATCCTCTATTTATGACAATGTGGTCTGGACTCTCCCCAACAAGTGCAGCAACTTCCCCATGGAGACTCTATTAAACCCTGTCATAATATTCAAGAACAAAAACAGAAATTTCTGGAAAAGCTCATCAGATCCGGTAGCATCTGTGGAGAAAAATCAGAGTTAACGTTTCAGGTCCGAAACATCAACGGATTTCTCTCTACAGATGCTGCCAGACCTGCTGAGCTTGTCCAGCAACTTCTATTTTTGTTTCTGATTTACAGCATCTGTCGTTCCTTCGGTTTTCACGATCTTCAAGATCCTGAACAGTTCTGACTTACTGCTTCAGTTTGCCCAAATTGTCAAGTTCAGATGCATTTTCACAAAAGATTTCATCTTTAACTCGGTGAAAACATTCTAAAAAAACGTTTTTTAAAAGATCAACTCAGCAATCGATTGATAGATACAAGTGCTCGCATGATGTGAAAGTAAACGAGCAATTTTTAAATAAACAAATTCACAATACAACATATGACACAGTGTTTCACATTCAGCCTCAGCTCCATCTGAGGAAAGCCACTCACCCCTAGCCCCACATACCCCACGGGCAGGTACAGGGCCAAACTCCCCACCCCCCCCCCAATTAGGGAATCCGTCCCTGTGGCCCATCTTCCCCTACATCAGTCAGGGACTCCCTCCTCATTCCCCCACCCTGGGGTTTCTCCACAACGTGAACTCCGCTCCAAACCGGTCTCCAAGGTTTTCTCCCCATCGACAAGATCCCTGCCCCATAGCAACCCGGCTCGGAGCATGGCCTCACGATCACCGCGCCCCCCCAACCTCGCCCGGCCCGGCGGCTCTTCTGACACCCCGACCCCCGGATACACTTACACTTTCCCCCATTTACCTATCCCTACCCCAGCGTCCCCCGCCCCCCCACAATTCTCCATTACCCCTCACTCCCCCGTCCCCACACTCTCCATCACTCACTCTCCTGTCACCGCCATGTTGTTGCTATCCGCTCTCACGTGACCTATGTGGCCTTTAACCCCAGTCGGGTCACGCCCTCTTCCCCGTTCGCCAATAGTGACTCGGGGGCGGGGTCCGTGGCCGCAAAGACCGCCGGGATTTGTAGTCCGCATTTCCGCCCACACTGACCCCGCCCAGTCCGACCCCGCGCACTCTGACCCCGCCCACTCCATCCCCCGCTACGTAATTCATTGCCATGGATAAGGAGGGCGCGGAAGCGGCCCTTCAGCCCATCAAGAGATGGGCCGTCTATCACTTCCAATCACCTGCAGGGACTTCTTCTTCAGCACTTCACTCACACCATTTGTCTGGTCTTTTGAACTCTCTCTGCCCATAAATTCTGTCAGAAATCACACAACACCAGGTTATAGTGGAAACGTTAAGTCAATAAATGTGGAGCTGGAAAAGCACAAGCAGGTCAGACAGCATCCGAGGGGCAGGAACAACAATGTTTTGCGCTGAGACATTGGCTTTCCTGCTTCCCGGGTGCTGTCTGACCTGCTATGCTATTCCATTTCCACATTTATTGACAGCTCCCTACAAATGTCCTCTGGCACCACTCGCAGATTGCCCCTTGATCCCTAATGTGTCCTGGTTACCCATTGAAAGGATAGAATCAGACCAAGCTGCGATGGTTTCGGTGGTAGAATTGGCACGAGCCATATGAAGTGAATGATCCTTGCAGCTGTACCTCAGTTTGAGTCAGCAATTTCAGACAAGTCAGAGAGTAATGATCATAAAATTATATTGCGATGCTGGCCTATGGAAGGAGTTGGATTAGTTTTCAATGACTTTGTGGGTTTAAAGGTCCATGTATGCTGCACAATGCAGCCAGGCAGGGTGGAGTAGGAAAAAAAACAAAATACTGGAGAAACAATAGGTTAGTCAGCATCACAGAGAGAGCACACCTTCAGAACAGAAACAGAATGAAAAATCCACATTTCAATAGAATTGGAAAATAGGAGAGAAAGCGTGAAGTTCTGGTGATGACCTTCCCCTAGCCATTGGTGATCACAGTACTGCAAGTATTAAAACATTGCTACGTTGGTATTCATACCATACAACTGCCAGGCAATGACCCATCTCCAACAAGTGAGAATCTAACCACTGACCCTTCAAATTCAGTAGCCTTACCATCAATCTATCCCTGGCTATCAACATCCTGATGGGTTACCATTGACCAGAAGCTGAACAAAACTAGATGTACAAACACAGTGGCTACAGCAGCAGGTCAGTGGTTACAAATACTGCAGCAAGTAACTCAACTCCTGACTCTCCAAAGCCTGTCCACGATCTATGCAAGGCAAGAAGTCAGGAATATGATGGAATATTCCCCACTTACCTGGATGAATGCAGCTTCAACAACACTCAAGAAGCTTGAAACCATTCAGGACAAAGCAGAATATTTGATTTGCATTACATTCACTATCGTCAACATTTGCTCCCTTCATCGCTGACACTCAGTAGCATCAGTGCGTGCCATCTACAAGATACACTGCAGAAATTCACCAAACATCAACTGCTAGTATATTCCAAACCTCCACCACCTCCACATGGATGAAGTCAGGTAACAGATTGAAATTTTGCTTTTGCTGTGTGACTAAGATATTTCTGATTGAGTTCTATATTTAAATAGCTTCATTTTTATTTATTTTTATTTTGTGAAATGTTTTCTGTTCAGTTGTTATAGAAACTCTGAAGGCTTGTGGTACAGTGATTGGGCATCACATTACCTAAACTCTTTTTTGAAAAATCCATCAAACCAAATTTTCATTCTGGAACTTGTCTTTGTATGACTTTTCCAGCAGTACTATCAGCTGGGATCATTACATTACCCTGAACAAGCCGTTATCATTGCATCATTGGATAGTGTTGGCCTATCAAGAGCCTGGATCAATAGCAAGCCCAGGAGGATGGGGTGCATGCAAATGGAATAGTTGAGTTGGTGATCACATCCACCCCCGGAAGCTTTGCAGAAAGATTTCCGAGATGTAGATGAAGACTTATAGTGTTGAAGAGTGACTGAAGGATGGGTATAAGTCAACAACGCTGACAGGTCCCTGACTAGAAATTCTACAGTCGATGCAATCACTAGAACACTGCAAAATAGCAAAGCATGTAGAAGATGTGGCATTTTGCACGCTCCGAGGAATTTTTTCTAAAATACATTTCTGGGACATGGGTGTTGCTGGCTGGACCAGCATTTATTGCCCGTCCCTAGTTGCTCTTGAGAAGGTGAGGGTGAGCTGCCTCTTGAACCGCTGCAGTCCATTTGCTGTGAGTTGACCCACAATGCCATTAGGGAGGGAATTCCAGGATTTTGACCCAGCGGCAGTGAAGAAACGGCGATATATTTCCATGTCAGGATGGTGAGGGGTTTGGAGGGGAACTTGCAGGGGGTGGTGTTCCCATGTATCTGCTGCCCTTGCCCTTCTAGATGGAAGTGATTGTGGGTTTGGAAGGTGCTGTCTGAGGATCTTTGGTGAATTTCTGCAGTGCATCTTGTAGATAGTACACACTGCTGCTACTGAGTGTCGGTGGGGGAGGGAGTGGATGATTGTGGATGTGGTACCAATCAAGCGGGCTGCTTTGTCCTGGATGGTGTCAAGCTTCTTGAGTGGTGTTGGGGCTGCACTCATCCAGGCAAGTGAGGAGTATTCCATCACAGTCCTGACTTGTGCCTTGTAGATGGTGGACAGGCTTTGAGAGTCAGGAAGTGAGTTACTCGCCACAGTATTCCCAGCTTCTGGCCTGCTCTTGTAGCCACTCTGTTAATGTGGTGAGTCCAGTTGAGTTTCTGATCAATGATAACCCCCAGGATGTTGATAGTGGGAGATTCAGTGATGGTAACACCGTTGAATGTCAAGGGGCAGTGGTTAGATTGTCTCTCATTGGTGATGGTCATTGCCTGGCATTTGTGTGGCGCGAATGTCACTTGCCACTTGTCAGCCCAAGCCTGGATATTGTCCAGATCTTGTTGCATGTGAACACGGACTGCTTCAGTATCTGAGGAGTCACGAATGGTGCTGAACATTGTACAATCATTGGTGAACATCCCCACTTCTGACCTTATGAAGGAGGGAAGGTCATTCATGAGGCAGCTGAAGATGGTTGGGCCTAGGACACTACCCTGAGGAACTCCTGCAGAGATGTCCTGGAGCTGAGATGACTGACCTCCAACAACCACGACCATCTTCCTATGTGTCAGGTATGACTCCAACCACCAGACGGTTTAGCCCCTGATACTCATTGATTCCAGTTTTGCTAAGGCCCCTTGACACCACACTTGATCAAATGTAGCCTTGATATCAAGGGCTGTCACTCTCACCTCCCCTCTGGAATTCAGTTCTTTTGTCCATGTTTGAACCAAGGCTGGAATGAAATCAGAAGCTGAGTTATTTTTTTATTCATTCATGGGATGAGGGTGTCGCTGGCCAGGCAGCATTTACTGTCCATCCCTAATTGCCCAGAGGGCAGTTTAGAGTCAACCACATTGCTGTGGGCCTGGAGTCACATGTAGGCCAGAACGGGTGAGGATGGCAGTTTCCTTCCCTAAAGTACATTCACGAATCAGATGGGTTTTTCCAACAATCAACAATGGATTCATGGTCATCATTAGATTCTTAATTCCAGATATTTATTGAATCCAAATTCCACCGTCTGCTGTGTTTGTATTTGAACCTGGGTCCCCAGAACGTTATCTGGGTCTCTGGATTAACAGTCCAACAGTAATACCACTCGGCCATTGCCTCCCACTGTGGCCATTGCATTTCCTCTGAGAGTGGCCCTGGTGGAACCCAAACTGGCCATCACTGAGCAGGTTATTGCTGAGCAGGTGCTGCTTGATAGCACTGTTACTGACACCTTCCATCACTTTACTGATGATCGAGAGGAGACTGATGGGGCGGGAATTGACCGGGTTGGATTTGTCCTGCTTTTTATGTACAGGACATACCTGGGCAATTTTCCACTTTGTCGGGTAGATGCCAGAGTTGTAGCTGTTCTGGAACAGCATGGCGAGGGACATGGCAAGTCTGGAGCACAGGTCTTCAATACTATTGCCGGAATGTTGTCAGGGCCGGTAGCCTTTGCAGTATCCAATGGTTCCAACCATTTCTTGATATCATGTGGAGTGAATCGAATTGGCTGACGACTGGTATCTGTAATGCTGGGGAGCACTGGAGGAGGCCGAGATGGATCATCCACTCGGCACTTCTGGCTGAAGATTGCTGCAAATGCTTCAGCCTTATCTTTTGCACTGATGTGCTGGGCTCTTCCATCATTGAGGATGAGGATATTTGTGGAGCCTCCTCCTTCAGTGAGTTGTTTAATTGTCCACCACCATTCACAACTGGATGTGGCAGGACTGCAGAGCTTAGATCTGATCGGTTGGTTGTGGGATCGCTTAGCTCTGTCTATCACTTGCTGCTTTCGCTGTTTGGCGTGTAAGTAGTCCTGTTTGGTAGCTTCACCAGGTTGATACCTCCTGGCATACCCTCCTGCACTCTCCATTGAACCAGCGTTGATACCCTGGCTTGATGGTAATGGTTGAGTGGGGGATATGCCGGGCCATGAGGTTACAGATTGTGCTGGAGTACAATTCTGCTGCTGTTGATGGTCCACAGCGCCTCAAAGATGCCCAGACTTGAGTTGCTAGATCTGTGCAAAGCATTGAGCACGGTGATAGTGTTACACAACACAATAGAGATTATTCTCAATGTGATGGTAGGACTTCGTCTCCACAAGGACTGTGCGACGGTCACTCTTACCGATACTGTCATGGACAGATCTATCTGCAGCTGGCAGATTGGTAAGGATGAGGTCAAGTGTTTTTCCCTCTTGTTGGTTCCCTCACCACCTGCCGCAGACCCAGTCTAGCAGCTGTGTCCTTTGGGACCCGACCAGCTCGATCAGTAGTACTGCTGCCGAGCCACTCTTGGTGGTGGACATTGAAATCCCCCAACCAAAGTACATTTTGTGCCCTTGCCATCCTTAATGCTTCCTTGAAG